CTCTTCAATTTTTCTATGTGGGATTTTCTGAACCTTAAAATTTGAGTAAATTTAAATTATAATTAATGTGAGAAGGTCTATGGTTACAAAATCTCAGTTTTGTGTGTGTGTTTGTCTGTTTCCCCATTCTGAATCTTCCTAAAATAAACAAATTATCTTGTCATATTCATTGGCTGTCAGGCTACATTTTCTATGGCCCCCTTCATTGACATTGTAGCCTTTTAGGGATTTTGTTTTATATAAGTCTCAATTCCTATTTGTCACTTTGTAAGAGGCCTAGGTATTGTATTAATTTCACAACAGTGTCTTTAAAACTCAAGTCTAGTTTCTAGCAAAAGCAAATGTCCAAATAGCAACTATGGCTTCCATATTTGCTTACTCTGATTATATTTCTAAATTTGCTTAAGCTCAAAAATTCATTTAAAGACTTTGCTTCAATTTTTCTATACCTAGGTGTTTCATAATATCTAGTCTACCTAGGTTTTTCAGAATATCTAGTCTACTGTATTGGTAGAAGCAGAACTTTATACTTAAAAAACCTATAATCTTTAGACTACAATAGCAATTATTTTATTTATCCCCTATAAATTAACATAAAATAACATGAAACTATTAAAATTGACCTTATAGAAAACTCTCACTAACTCAATGATTTATTCATATTGAATAGATTGTTTTTCTATTTTCCTTATATTCCCAATTCCTTTCACCACATAATCTTTACTTTTTTTCTGAAGTCATTGTTTATTCTCCCCATTTTTCCTGGCTCAAATATCTGTATTTATATACAATCCCATTTCTTTACCTTCTCTCTGCAAGAGTCATTCAGCCACTTGAGTTCTACTTTCACCCTTTCTGTCTTTATAACTATGTTTTAAAAATTATTTTCATTATGCTCTTGAACATTTAATTTTCTATGCCATATCACTGTGCAAGACAATCTTCATGCTTCTGTATCTTTTCTTGAACTTACTACTCCTTCAAGCAACTATATTCCCTTTCTCTACTATCAAGTATCTTGAGACTATAGTACTCCCTTGATTATCTCCCATTTTATTTGAAATTATATTGACACAATTTTTACCAATGATTTTCTCCTTCTGTGTCCTTTGGCCTTTTTCTTATCTTCTTAACCTTGCTTCAAAAAACACTAGACTTATGTTATGTTAACTTTACATTATTAACTTTTTTATTTTTCAAAATATCCTTCTTACTAATTTGGTTTTTCAGTTTTGTCTCTTTCTAAAATGTAGGCATCCCTCAAGGTTTCAGATTTTGTTGTCAACTCCCTATCCCCATAACTCTCTACACTGCGTTACTTATTGATGTCTTATCCTAAGGTTCAAAATGTTACCTGCATTAAATTAATAACTAAATTTAAATCTCTAAGTCCCTCCTTCTCTGACAGTCATTTAAGCAATAATTGCTTATGGTATTCTTATTCACTCCTCTTTTAACCTTGTTATCTTAGCAGTTGCTTCACTAAGAAAATTATACTTCCACTAAAGGCCTTCTTCCTACTGTCAACACTCTATTTCACAATTCCATAATCTATCAAGTCTCTTTTTTTAAAGGTCATGAAAATATTAACTCTATTTTTTTTATAATTTCAAGTTTTATTTTAGATTCAGGGAATACTTATGCAGGTTTGTTACGTGGGTATATTACACGAAGCTGAGGTTTGGAATATGAATAATCCAGTCACCCAGTTGGTGAGCATAGTACCCAATAGGTCGTTTTTCAGCCTTTTCCCAACTCTCATTCTCCCCCTTCCAGTAGTCCCTAGTGTTTATTGTTCCCATCTTTATGTCCATGTGAACCCAGTGTTTGGCTTCCACTTATAAGTGTGAACATGTGATATTTGGTTTTCTGTTACTGAGTTAATTCATTTAGAATAATGGCCCCCAGCTGCATCTATGCTGCCACAAAAGACGTAATTTCATTCCATTTATGGCTATTTAGTATTGCTTGGTGTATGTGTACCACACTTTCGTTATCAAATCCATCATTGACGAGCACCTAGATTGATTTCATGTCTGTGCTATTGCAAGTAGCGCTGCAATAAACACACAAGTGCAACGTGCGCCTTTTTGGTGGAATGATTTCTTTTCCTTTGGGTGTATACCCAGTAATGAGATTGTTGGGTCAAATGGTGGTTCTGTTTTTAGTTCTTTGAGAAATTTCCAAAACTGCATACCACAGTGACTGAACTGATTTATATTCCCATCAACAGGATATGAGCATTCCCTTTTCTCTGCAGCCTCACCAGCCTCTGTTATTATTATTATTTTTTGTCTTTTTAATAACAGCCATTCTGGCTGATGTGAGATGGAATCTCATTGTGGTTTTAATTTGCATAACTCTGATAATTACTGATGTTGAACATTTTTTCATATGTTTGTTGGCTGCTTGTATGTCTTTTGAAAAGTGTCTGTTCATGTCTTTTGCCCACTTTTTAATGGGATTATTTATTTCTTTACTAATTAAGTTCCTTATAGATTCTGGATACTAGACCTTTATTGGATGCATAGTTTTTGAATATTTCCTCCCACTGTGTAGGTTGTTTACTCTGTTGATAGCTTCTTTTGTTGTGCAGAAGCTCTTTAGTTTAATTAGATCCCAATTGTCTATTTTTGTTTCTGTTGCAATTGCTTTTGAGGGCTTACTCATAACTTCCTTGCTAAGGCCTATGTCCAGAATGGTGTTTCCTAAGTTTTCTCCTAAGGTTTTTATAGTTTGAGGTCTTACACTCAAATCTTTAATTCATCCTGAGTTACTTTTTGTATACAGTGAGAGGTAGGGGCCCAGTTTCATTCTTAACATATGGCTAGCCAGCTATCCCAGCACCATCTATTCAACAGGGAGTCCTTTAGCCATTGTTTATTTTTGTCAACTTTGTGGAAGATCAGATGACTGTAAGTGTGTGACTTTACTTCTGGGTTCTCCATTCTGTTCCATTGGTCTATGTGTCTGTTTTTGTGCCAGTACTGTGCTGTTTTGGTTACTATAGCCTTAGGGTAAAGTCTGAAGTTGCATCACATGATTGCTTTGGCTATTTGGGCTCTTTTCTGTTCTCACGTGACTTTTAGAATAATTTTTTTCAAATTCTTTAAAAAATTATGTTGGCAGCTTGATAGCTATATTGTTGAATATGTACATTGCTTTGGGCAGTATGGCATTTTAATATGAATTGTTCTAATCCATGAGCATGGAATATTTTTCCATTTGTTCGTGTCATCTACGATTTCAGCAGTGTTGTGTAGGTTTTCTTGTAAAGGTGTTTTACCTCCTTTGTTATATGTATCCTAGGCAGTGTGTGTGTATGTATTGTAAACGGAATTGCATTCTTGATTTTGCCCTCAGCTTGAATGTTCTTGCTGTATAGAAATGCTACTGGTTTTCTGTATGATGAATTTGTATCCTGAAACATTATTGAAGTCGTTAATCAATCTTAGGAGCCTTTTGGTGGTGTCTTTGGAGTTTTCTGGGTAAAAAATCATATCAACAGACAAGAGAGATCATTAATTTGACTTCTTGTTTTCCTATTTGGATGAGTTTTCTTTCTTTCTTTTGCCTGATTGTGTTGGCTAGCACTTCCTATTTAGTTTACTAGTCTATTTGACCCTCTTCCCTTAATTCACTCTGCATATTGTAGTTGTTAATTTTTCAAGAATATAGCTCTGAGTACTTCACCACTATCTTGCTCAAAAACTTTATTTTATTGTTCCCAGAGTAGAAACACTGATTGGAATCAGAGAATTCAATAATTTAAGATGCATTTACCTTCACAAACAGTTCCCACTGATTCGCTTTAGACCCTCTTGGTTCTAATCAAACTACATTCAACATTTCATTATAATATTTTAGTTAAGATGCTGAATACAAGGAACAGAAACCTGTGCAAGCTAATTAAAATAAAGGAAAGTCTGTTGAAAAGACACAAGATCTCTAAATAGGACTAAACAGTTACATCCCATGAAACCTGGAGATGAGTCTTGGGAAGCCATCAAAGATTGAAGCAATTTCTCAAAGCTTTCTTTGCTTCTTAGCAGCAAATGCATCAAATATAGCTTCCACTGTCCTGATTTCAGGTGATATTTCTATGAACTTGTCTCTACCGTCCTACTGCTGGAACTTTGTTTCTTAGTTCTAAGATTTAAAAGGCAGACTCTGATTGGCAGCTGGGCAATTAGTAGACTCCATGATTCCAGGTAGGCTGTATGTCCAAAGAAGGAGTTACAAGCTGGCCAGGCAATCAAAACTTGTCAATGAGAACGTACGCTATGTTTCCTGCTTTGGGGCCATTGTTTACATTGCGCTTTCTACCTGTAATTGTACCTACTTCTTATTCCTCTTCTTTCCAAATACTCAAACTATTCATTCTTTAAGTTCCCACACAAATGCAATATCCATCCGGAAGTTTTTCCTGATTGTTCAACTGAAAGTAATCTCTCCTTCCTGCCATGTCTCTTTCTCTGCATCTCTGCCACAGCAAGTCTTATCTCCCAAGTTAAGCTAAAAGCAGAAGCTAGAGTATCCCCTACAATGCTTAGGTCAGTACGTGTAACACAATACAGCTTGTTAAGTGTTTGCTAAATGGCAAATAGCATTCAGAGGGAAAATTAAAAGTAAAAAGTACTTCTAAACCTTAAACTGAAGTGTTTTTTTTTTCAGAAAATATGTCATATATTGCCATAAGTATTCCCACAAAAGGAAAAATGATGGACATTAATCTCAGTTACATATGTGTGTGAGAGAGAGAGAGTGAGAGAGAGAGAGAGATGACATTTATGCCCCAGGTAGGAAACTCACATGATAAATTTACTTTTACTTTTAAGAAGAAAAACAAAAATTTAAAAATCCAATCATTTAATAAGAATTTACTGTAGAACTTAGAGGACTATTTCCATATGTTAAAACCTCACTTATAGTAATAACATTCTTTGTTTCCTAGCAACAAAACTATTTTCTGTAAACAACATTATTACCCTCCCCTAAACAGGACAACTGTTCAACTCTGCTGGATTGCTAATCAGTATATTACCTGCTGCAGAGAAAGGCAATATGAACTCCAGGCCACAAGATAAGATATACAAGTATATTGCAATTTCTTAGTTTCTGCTAGTCTTTTGAGCTCTAAATTGCATAAATTTATTATTCAGATTAGCTAAAGCAAGAGTCTGTGATCTATCATTAAGCAAAGGCTATGGAGCTACTGAAGCACGTCTGCACCAAACTGTTAAGATTCATTAAAACATTAGCATAATAACTTTTACTATACTTGAAAGTGGAGACAGAAAACTTCCAGACAGTTCTGTTCCTCCATAGTGTACAGTTGATAAGTATGCTAGAGTTTGTTGGAATATTCTGTTAGCTTTGGGGATGAACAGTTCAACATGACTTGGTCTCTGCAAAGTTCATTTAGGTCATTTTGGCATTCTTTCTTGAAATCTTACTCCTCATCTAAGCCCCTGTCTGGTTTATTAGAGGAGCTTATATTTCTCACATATTTTGCATAAAACTTGTGAACTGTAAACAGTGAATTGTATTTGTAATCTCTATACTCAAGGACTTTAACTGTAAGGCATCTCCTACATGATACTTAGAGAAAGATAAGTAGTCTTTCAGTGTTTCATTCACTTATTTCTAGTAACCTCTCTATTCCTAGGGATTTCCAGTAAATTGCATATTATTGCCTCTCACAATAATTTTGCTGCACATTTATGTTCCCCTGTCCAAACTGGAGTCTTCTTTAGCAAAATTGTATTAGGCATTCTTGCTTTGCCTGGCCAGCATTTCACCATGGGATCCTTTTAATTGGATTTGTCCTAGGCTTGGTGAATGAAATTCCAATGAAAGTTTTTCTTTGACTTTTTTCCTAAGCAAGTGTTTTGATTATAGTTAATGATGCCACCAAGGGGTGACATTAGCCCAATAAATAAACCCCCACCAGTCTCTCCAAAGTTCTCTTCTCCAAAATAAGCATGTATTATAAGTACAAATGACAAGTTTGCTGTGCAAACACAGCTTCTGAAAAATCCCCTAGTGCTACCCTTTTCCCAACTTAATTATTATCATTATATCCCTTATACATATGCATTATCTTCTAATACAGCTTTCTATGGGCTGTTTTCTTTGTAGAATCAGAAGCAGCAGCATTTTATCTGAGTTCATGCCTATCTTTAGCGCCTACCAGTGAAACACACATAAACCATATACTCAATAGCTGTGTGTTGAACAAAACTATTTTTGGAGAGGTTCAAGTTTATGTTTTGGCTGACAAATTTCATGTATGAAGTGATGTGTGTGTGTGCGTGTGTGTGTCTGTGTGTGTGTGTGTTGTCAATCTGACCATTGGAGTAAATGTAATTCAGCATAAAAATTTAAACACTTTTCACTTAAAATAATGATAAAATCTATTGTTTTCCCTAAGTTTAGTTTACATAGGTCTTGGTCAGATGTAGCATCTTTTGCACTTTTATATGCAAAGGTACCAGTGAATATTTAAGAGAGGTAAAATGCTTCAGGATTAATTAGGTTACTGTGTTGCTGGTGACTTCATGTTCTTAGTCCTTTAATTTTTTTCTGTTGGGTAATGATATAAACCTAAATGAAAGCAAAATAGAACTTTGAGATCCTAGAAATTTACCTCAAGAAATACAAACTTCTCTCGTGTTTGGCTGACCCATTTGTTTTATGTATAAAGTTCTGGGTTTGCTGCCTGTAATGACCTCTACTTGTTCCTTGTTTTATGAGGAATAATTTAGCCCTCCCATATGTATACCTTAAGGCCCTGTTTAAAGAACACCTACTTTAACAGCCTTTCTTGTTTCTTTTTCTTCACCTTCACTTGTCTTACACTGACCAAACTGTGATAGCACAGACACATATTTCACTGGAGTTCTTTTTGATATCTGTCTCATTAAACCAGAAGCTTGTTAGCATGAATGACTTAGTCTTGTTTTCTTAGTATTTTTAAAGACTCAACTAATACCTAGACAACAGAAAGAACTCAATAAATGTGTATTGTAGGTATATCACTTGATATAAGTGTATTTTCAAAGGCTGAGTTAATAATATATGTCTATACTTAAAAAATGTGCATACATGATAGCAATTATCTTTTTAAATGCCACTTTAGAAATACTATGACAATAAGTGTCAATGGTAGATTGTTAGCTCAGGAAAGATTTCTGATTTATAAATAAAACCATTCATCCTTGTCATTGCAAGGTGATTAATGTAAATTTCATTTGCATATTCTTGGCTTTTTTTTTTTTAATTCTTTAATCTTGTAATCACTCCTAGTAATACTCTGAAAAGGTGACCTTAGGAAGTGATTAACATATTTGTTTAAAATAATGGAATAATTGCTTGTTTAGTAGCATAGTATTTCAACAAGTAAACAACTGATTAACCCAGAAAGAATGTTTCTCAAGCTGAAAAATTAGTGTACAATGCTAATACATGTCATCTTTTAAAAGAACAAATAATGGATTTATTAAAATATTAAAGGAATCTAAGATTTGGTAGAAAAAAACAGACTTGCCGGGCGCAGTAACTCATGCCTGCAATCCTAGCACTTTGGGAGGCCGAGGAGGGCAGATTGCCTGATCTCAGGAGTCCGAGACCAGTCTGGGCAACACGGTGAAACCCCATCTCTACTAAAATACAAAAGAAATTAGCCATCTGTAGTGGCGAGCGCTTGTAGTCCAAGCTACTCGGGAGGCTGAGACAGGAGAAAGGCGTGAACCCGGGAGGAGGAGCTTGCAGTGAGCCGAGATCGCGCCACTGCACTCCAGCCTGGACGACAAAGCAAGACTCCGTCTCAGAAAAAAAAAAAAGAGAGAGAGAAATAAAAAGAAACGGACTTTTAATAGTTGACTTCAATAAAGCATTGCTTTACCATCTTTTGTTTTCTAAGATTTTTTTTTCCTTTGTTTTATTCCTTGATTTGGGTATTTCTGGTCTGAAAATTCTCACTTATACCTTAAGTTCAATCCTGTGCTTTACCAATGTCTTTTACTACAGTACTTCCTGTTTCCACAGATTCTACAATCACTCTTCCATCCTTTCGCTCTTTGCCATTTCTTCTTGCTCTAGTTCTTACAAAGTTGTTATTTTCACTTCCTATGATGTTTTTCATTTTTCTGGTATCCTCCATGTCACTTATTACATCTTTTTCTACTTTGTGCTGTCACATACTCTTCATTAGAACTGGCGATCTTTTTCCTCTATTTTGTACCACTGTCCAATTTTTCTGAGCCTATTCTTTCTCATGCTCAAGAAGCCTGGTTCTTTTTAAAGAAGGAGAGTTCCGGCCGGGCACGGTGACTCACGCCTGTAATCCCAGCGCTCTGGAAGGCCGAGGTGGGTGGACCACAAGGTCAGGAGTTGGAGTCCAGCCAGGCCAACATGGGAAACCCCATCTCTACTAAAGATACAAAGAAAAAAATCAGCGGGGCATGGTGGCGTGCACCTGTAATCCCAATTACTCTAGAGGCTGAGAATCCCTTGAATCCGGGAGGTGGAGGTTGCAGTGAGCCGAGATCCTACCATTGCACTCCAGCCTGGGAGACAAAGCGAGACTCCACTGGGGTCGGGGGAGGGGGGTGGTAAGACGGAGAGTTCCAATTCAGTTTATCACTCTAACTCAGATTCTCCCTCTTTGAGAGGCCACATATAATTGCGCCTGTTATTGCCATAAAGAGAGATCTCTTTGCACAGGGATCTTTCATGTATTTCGCAGACTGGAGCTTTTTCCTTCATTTCTAATGAAAACTCAGTTAATAACATTAAGAAAATTAATCTAGGATGGTATATATTCTATCTTCAATAACTCCCCATCCTATCTCAATTATTTTTATTTTAATTCACAGAATATAATAATCCTAATTAAAAAGTTGTATAATGGTTTTCTATTTATTTCAGTGAAGTTATGCTAGTCAACACTAAATTATTTAAAATATGCTGAACCTTTTTTATTCGCAACTTATCCACCTTTATGAAAATTAAAAATGTAGGCACTAGAAACACTGGTAGTCAGGTATCCTCTTGAGTATCCAAAGTGAAACCACTTAATACTTCTCAAAGAGCCATAAAATGACAATAATTTTTCTAAGAAATAGCTTATTTTAATAGAATATTTTCTCTTTGCCAAAGCATTATTCTAAAAAAAATTTAATATATTAACTGAGTAGGTCCTCCCTACAATGCTATCAGGTATAGATTATATTTAATCCTCTTTTTCACAGATGAGAAAATCGAAACGTAGAGAGCCTGAGTAACAGCCAACCCAGAGTCATCCTAGATCCAGGCAGCCTGCAATCAGGAACTAGACGTGGGAGATGCCTGGAAGCATGCCTAGCCACCAGCATAGTCTGTAGAGGTTGGCAGGTATTCGTTGTTCAATGAATACTTATTAAAATGAGTAGATGCAGTAAGTGAATAAAGTTCAGAATATAGGCAACTATGAAAAGGTAGGATTCGTTGACTGAGCTTTCTTCAGTAGTTTAGGCATGCTTTGTGAGAATTTGTTGATAGAAATAATATAAGAAGCATCATATATAAATTAAATCATTTTTTCTTAATGAATTAAAAATAGAATCACCATTCAGCCTAGCAATCCCATTACTTAATATATACACAAAGGAAAAGAAATCATTCTACCAAAAAGACATCTGTATTCACATGTTGACCTCAGCACTATTCACAATAACAAAGACATGGAGTCAACTTAGGTGCCAATAGCAGTGGACTGAATTTTAAAAATATAGTACATATATATCACGGAATATTACACAGCCATAAAAAAGTTACATCATGTCCTTTGCAGCAACATGGATGCAGCTACAGGCCACTATCCTGAGTAAATTAGCATAGAAACAGAAAACCAAATACCACATGTTCTCATTTATAAGTGGGACCTAACCACTGGGTACACACAGACATAAATATGGGAACAATAGACACTGCAGACTACAAAAGTGGGGAAGGAGGAAGAGGGCAAGGGTTGGAAAACTACCTACTGGGTGCTTTGTTCATTATTTCAGTGACAATTTTGATTGAAGCTCAAACCTTAGCATGATGCAATATATTCATGTAACAAACCTGCATGTGTACCTCTGAATCTAAACCTTTTACAAAATTGATTAATTAAATCATCCAAGGTAAGTAGTATGTATCAAAGTTTGAGTCACATACCAATTTCATGAAAATGTTAACAATAAAATTGCAATCTTACATTGATTATAAAGTTAAATGTTAATTACATACACATGTATTTATGCAAAAAGGGGTTTTCTACCTCAGTATTTGTTAGAGTAAAATTGTTTGAGAAAATAAATGACAAAGATGTCTGATTTTAATTATGCATTGTTACTTCTTTTGGACTTCATCCAATCCAATGGATATCCAATGCTAGTCTTTGCATGCATTACATGATTTTATTTCCCAAGCTACCCTTTGTCTTATTATTGTCATTAGGAGAAATGTTCACAACATTAAATATCATGCATAGCTAGAGCATGGACTATTCAGAATGCAAGCCAGCCATGATGGGACTGGGTTCTGAAGGGCACCTGCTGAGTCTAGTCCTGCCTTTTTCATTGCTAGGTAGGGGAAATTCTAGTTAGGGCATTCTAGAGGAGCACTCAGGTGACCAGGTTTGTGGGGTGACGCACTTAGAGGATTCAGAGCAATAATTATTTACCAACTGCTATCCCTTATGAAATAATTTTAATGTGTTTGTGCAATTAGCTGTCATTAGTTGCACAGCTGTTAAATAATTTTCTTTAAATTTCCATTAATTTTAATGGGAAAAAATTATGATGCATTTCATTCTGACCGAAGACACTCAAATAATTTTCAAAGACAGAAAAAAATGAACCATCAAACAACAAGCCAATATCATGTAAGCTTTTTTTGTTGACCCAAGGAAGAAGAGAAGTCTCAATAGCAGGTGGAGGTTGGTGGATAAAAGTGCTAAAGACTCATACGGGGGAAGGAAATAAAGAAAGGAAATCCAAATGATTGACTTTCAAACATTTTGGGAGGTACATGATTATTTTGCACTCAAATTGCACTTAAAAATGGTTATAACACAAAGGGAAAATACCTGTAGCACACACATAAAGAGACTAAACCTGAGGTCACTTGAAAATGCATGAAACTAGGGCATGCTCACAACAGATTGAAATGTCATAAAAGTACCTACTTCTTCATACCTCTCACCTGGTATAATAATACAAAGCAAGCATCCTAACACAGCGTATAATTGAAAATTGTTTTACATGATAATCTCTGACCAAAAGCTGACGTCTTGAATAAATTGGTAAACTTCTGTCTCTTTGCCTGAAACTGAAGTGTCAACATTTTTCTTCATAGAGAGTATTTATTTAGTAAATGGTGGGACAGAAAAATGATTATGCTGATATAAAGTAGTTGATATGGTTTGACTCTCTGTCCCCACCCAAATCTTACCCTGAATTGTAATAATCCCCCGGTGTCAAGGGCAGGACCAAGTGGAGATAACTGAATCGTGGGGGTGGTTTCCCCCATGGTATTCTTGAGATAGTGAGTGAGTTCTCACTACATTTGATAGTTTTATAAGGGAGTTCCCCCTTTGCTCTTGCTAAGCACTCATTCTCTCTCCTGCCACCCTGTGAAGAGGTATCTTCCAATATGATTGTGAATTTCCTGAGGCCTCCCCAGCCATGCAGAACTGTGAGTCAATTAGACCTCTTTTTTTAAATAAATTACCCAGTCTTGGGTATTTCCTTATAGCAATGTGAGTACAGATTAATATAGTAGTCATCTGAAAAGTGTACAACTTTTTAAGTGTCATTATGTTTTTTAAATATTTGAGGATTTAGCAACCAATATAGCCATATGGGGCATACAGCTGAGTATTAGACCTGGTCATTCCTAATTCCTATTGGGTCAAATAAGAACAGTGAGAGGTTAATTAACCAAACCTCAGTCATAAAACTAGTAAGACATAGAGTCAGAACTTCAACCCAATTCTGTCTGATTTCAAAGCCTGTAATCTAAATAGTTGTGCTATGCATAAAGAGTTTTCCTGTTTATGTCTATTACCAATATTTGAGTGATAAAAAATAATTATATAGTTTTCTATTTAATAAATGGGTAAGCAAATTATCAGATTTGCAAAGATCTGTTTTATGTGTAGGTAAATTTAGTAGATAACATCTGGTGACCAGAAGAATACTAAGACGACTGTTGTGATAATATTTCTCCTGACAACACTCTCTTGCTAGCAACTAAAACTCTACTATGTAATAGGCTTCTACCAGTTCATAAACTTGATTTGGTTTAGAAATTGTCCCCAGTGTAATATACTCTGGGATAAATGGTAAAGGGAGTTTCTATCATACATAAACATCACATATGAATTAACTAACCAGTTTCTTTCCAAAGTAATGCCATTGGGAGAATGTTGAAGTATGAGTCAAAAGACCTGAGTTTCTGTTCTACCTTGGTCATTTGCTAACTGATTGGTATTGGTTATGTCACTTAACCTTTCCAAACCATATTCCTTTATGTAATGCAGGTAACAGTGCCTTTACTACAGAACATTCCATGTGATCATGCAAGTGACAGTATTCTTTTTTTTTTTTTAATTATACTTTAAGTTCTAGGGTACATGTGCACAATGTGCATGTTTGTTACATATGTATATATGTGCCATGTTGGTGTGCTGCTCCCATTAACTCGTCATTTACATGAGGTATATCTCCTAATGCTATCCCTTCCCCTCTTCCCCCACCCCATAGATGAAGTTGGAAACCATCATTCTCAGGCGACAGTATTCTTAAAGCTATATGCCCCATCAACAGGTAAGCTTTCAATTTTCTCATGTGAGAGTGCCATAGAATAATATCCCACAGAGGAAAGAAAATTTTCACTATTTATTTTAAGCAGTGAAATAAGGAGGGGCAGGAAAGGGTCCTTAGGTACTTACTATCAGAGAAGGGAGATAAAAAATTGTGAAAAAGAGCTAAAAGGCATGGAGAAGTAAAGCAAACTGTACTTATTTCACAGTTTTGTTTATAGATGGCCATGAGATTTAATGTACAAGAAAACAGAAGTAAAGCTGACTAACTAAATGAAAAATAAAATGCAAGTTCTTTTTCACAGGCTGTCTAGAGTCTATTCTTTAGTGTTTTTTATTTTGGAAATGTGGATTTCTTTAAAGTGGAAATCATTCTTGCATACTGTTTACAAAAATAAATCATTTCTAAGACTAAGTTGGTTGTCAGAAAAAACAAAGAAAGAGGGAAAAGAAAGGAGGAAGGAAAAAGAAAGGAGGGAGGGCAGGAGGAAACAAATTGAAATATGAATATGAAATATACAACTTCTTGTAGAGAGTTCCTGCTGTGGACATTGGCTTTAACTTCCCCTGCCACATTATTCTTCTTGTGTTACAGGATTTTACTTGCCAGCACACATCCTGAATGTTGAACCATTTAGAAATCATCCATTCATAACTTGGAAAGCAAATAAGGTCAGAACATTTTCAGAGTACAAATAAATTAGACTACCACCTTCCTCACCATCGTCATCTCTGCTGAACTGCTGAATGAATTTAAATTAATCTCTGTCAGTTTTAACCCATAGCAGATATGACCCTTAGACTTTTCTTCAATAAAAGTCAGTTGCAGCAAAATAACTTTGCTTCATTAGTAAACAGCCATAACTTGAGCAACATCTAGCTGTTAGTTAATAAGCAATGACTCTTCCTAGAGGTATCCGGAGTACAAATCATAAAAAATTGCAACCATTGTCATTTAGTTTCATTTCAACATATAACTAAAGTTAATGCTAGTTTAAGAAAAGCATATAACTTACTAATATATCTATCACTGTGCTGTATTTACTATAGTCAGTCCTTTTACTTTTATTTTAATATCATAAATATGTCTTAAACTTGAGAAACAATGACAATATTTCTTAGCATTACAAAATGCTAAAAATACTTGCTGTGTAAACTCATGATTCTAGTGAAAAATAAGAGAATATTTTATTCACTGTTGTACATCCCATATGTTATTGTAAAGTAACTTATCCCTCAACCACAACTTTAAATGTGTTCGAGTATTTATATCTGTGAACTCTACCACTACTTTTTTCTTCTGTAATTTCATTGAGAAAAGCTTACAGATATAAATGTAACACTATTTTTAATCTTCCTTTCAATTTTGGCCATAACAGAAATTGAAAAACTGAGAACTCTTACTATGGCTAAGAAACAGCTGAGTGAGGTTGCTTTCACCTGTATTCCCAGCACCTTGGGAGGCTAAGGTGGAAGGATTGCTTTAGGACAGGAGTTCAAGACCAACCTGGGCGACAGGGTGAGACTCTATCTCAAAAAGAAAAAGAAATGAAATGAAATAATATAGATTGTGGTAATAATTATACAATGTATGAATACATAAAATCATCACATTGTATACTTTGAATATATACAATTTTATTTGACAAGTATACCTTGGCTGGAAAAGGTAAAGTACCTCTTTTATAGGCAAAAAACAGAGAAACTTAGTAACATCCTATGTACTTTTTATTCCTTTGGAAAGGCAGAGGAGATATGTAAGGGAGAAAGAGCGATGTTTCGGTGTCCAAAGATACCCTGAAGATATTGTATTAGTGATGAAAATATGAATACATTTGATTACAAAGGCTAACCACCTGTTTAGTCTATTCTTTAAAAAGTGTCCTTACATGACTCCCAAAGCTAGAAAATGCTAATGAAGGCCTACATTCCAGGATATCCATTGTGTTCATACTTGACCTTTCTTCACTCACCAATAGACTATCAAAGCAAGCATTAATAATACAAGTAATGTGATCCTTCTATCAGTATTCAGTCTTTACTTACCCACTGCAATCATTTTCTTTTTAGGAGAGTAGAAAAAAACCTCATTGACAAGCAGTGAAAAAATCATAACCTCCCTTGAAATAAATGTGGGCATATTCCATAACTTACTATGAAATTGTTTTTTTCATACAAAACATATCCCTGAAATTTTATTAATTTCCAAGTAGAAATGTGAGTCTACAAATATATAATTAATGCTTACTTGCCTTTCAATTATATATATGTTTATGTGAGTGTGTATGTATTGTGCATGCTTACCATGTGCCAGGCTTTCTATTCAGTTAGTGCTGAGCACCCAGCAATGAAAATGAAAATCAAAATTCCTTTCTCATAGGAAACCAAAATTAACAACAAAACAAAGAATACAATCTCATGTAATGATTAATACTATAAAACATTTCCATCACAAAGAACATATTCAAATTATTAAACCTGGCTAATCACCTATGTATAAATACATTTTACTTGAATTAGGGTAAATTTTATATTTAATTTAAAAACAAAAGCAAAACAAAAATATATTTATAGTGTAAAAACATTATTAAACCACATGGGTCATTCTTTTATGATTTTCAGTGCTTTTTTTTTTTTTTTTTTTTTGAGATGGAGTCTCGCCCTGTCACCAGGCTGAAGTGATCTTGGCTCACTGCAACCTCTGCCTCTCGGGTTCAAGTGATTCTTCTGCCTCAGCCCCCCCGAGTAGCTGGGACTACAGGCACGCACTGCCACGCTCAGCTAACTTTTGTATCTTTAGTGGAGATGGGGTTTCACCATGTTGGACATATTTTTATAGAAAGTTCAAATTAATATACATAACATGTATAAATACTATCCTTCAGATAAAATGCTAAATGGTTTTATTTAAAATGTTCCCAAAATAATTTAAAATGGATTAAAATTATTATTGCAAGTCAAGCTTTTTGAATGTGTATGTTTTGCTAATATTTGACCAATGGGAGGGTTATCAATTTCAGTATAAGATCTACTCAAAATTTATTTTATGTTATACAGATGCCTGTAACAAAGTGGTATCTGGTATACTTCATTTTCTAGAAAGTGTCATGTTTTAGGTAAAAATATACATTGATTATTGGTAAGATCTGTAACACAAAATGCCAGTCATGGGAAAGTCAGCCCTTGTTGCAGTACCAGCCAGAGGAAATGTTTCTGATATTTTTACATAAGTGCCTTTTGGCGCTACTCAAATCATACCCAAATGGTGACTTCCTATTTTGCTTCCCCCTAGGATATGCTGGATATATCTCTCAGAAGAGGTCTTTCACTATTAAAATAAATTGCTTTCAGCTTTGAATATTTAATTGTCAATATTAATCAGCAAAAATGGTGTATAATATCTGTTACTAGTTAACCATGATACCAGTAGGTTGGAATCGAGACCAAGTTGTCACTAAATTATTCTACTCTTACTTGGTGGGATAATTTAAACAAATGCCTGATTGAATAAAAACCAAAAGTCCTGCTTCAGCTGTAGAATTGAATAGGAAAATACAGAAACATTAAGCAGAAGATCCTGTTGTTACATACAGGGCTATGATGTGTAATTTGGGAAACAAACTCTAAATAGGCTCTTACAGATTTGATACAGAGGCCTCCCAATACAGCTGGCCAAGTGAAGCTTCCTGAAAGAATGAGTGACAGATGTAGTGTGTCTGCATTGACCCCTATAGGATCAAGGGATCCATCCAGGTGGATGAGGTCTTGGTAAGGTGTTGGTAAGGTGTCACGTGCAGCACCACAGGCAAAATACTGTATTAGATACTTTTCAAGAGACTCAAAAGGCTAATGAGTGTCCAGGTGCTGACACAAACATCCCACAGATGAGAACTGTACCCAACTGACAATGCAAATTTTACACACACTACATTAGGACAGCAGAGGAGTAATTTGCATTAGGAAAGCGTTTTTCACTTCAAGCATCTTTTTGAAAAAGAATCCCCCAGGCCAGATGCAGCGGCTCACGCCTGTAATTTCAGCACTTTGGGAGATAGAGATGGGTGGATTGCTTGGGCCCAGGAATTTGAGACCAGCCTGAGCAACATGACAAAACCTTGTCTCTCCATAAAATACAAAAATTAGCAGTGTATGGTGGCGAGTGCCTGGAGTCCCAGCCACTGAAGAGGCTGAGGTGGGAGAATCACTTGGGCCCAGGAGGTTGAGGCTGCAGTAAGCCAAGATCACGCCATTGCACTCCAGCCTGGGTGACAGAGCAAAACCTTGTCTCCAAAAAAAAAAAAAAAAAAAAAGAATTCCCCCAGTACACTTTGTTAAGTAGTTTCGTTAACAAAAAAATAAAAAAAAATAAAAAAACACTATATGTTTAAGGCACATGAGTTGATAAGTTTTAATATATGTATAAATTATTACAATCATAATAAATACATTCATTACCCTCAAAAGATTCCTCACACCCCTTTCTAATTCATTCTACTCAGCTTTACACCCATCCCCAGACAACCACTAGTTTCTTTCACTATAGATTAGATTGCATTTCCCAAAATTTTATGTAAATGGAATCATCTAGTATGTACATCTAGTATGTACAATCATCTAGTATGTACATTATGTAAATGGAATCATCTAGTATGTACATCTAGTATGTACATCTAGTATATGACTAGTTTCCTTCAGTCAGTATAATATTTCAAGATTAATTCATGTTTCCACATATATCAATAATTATTCTACTCATGGTATAGATACATTAGTTTCTTTTTTCATTCATCTGTTGATGGCAATGTGGGTTGTTTTCTATTTTGGGCTATTAGAAATAATGTCATTATGAATGTCCATATATAAGATTTTGTATAAATGTATGCCTTCATATACCACATATTTGCAAGTCACATATGTAAAAAATAATGTGATTTTAGAATATACAAAAAATTCTCAAAATGCGGTAATATGAAAACAAATGGTAACATCAATAAAAGTGACCTAAAAATCTGAACAAATACTTCACTAAGTAAGATACATAGGTGGCAAATAAGCATATGAAAAAAAATCCTCAAAGCCATGAGGAAAATACAAATTAAAACCACAGTGCTATTAGTCCCTTATCAGACAGATGGTTTGCAAATATTTTCTTCAATTCCAGAGGTTGCCCCCTTTCATTCTGTTCCTTGTTTCCTTTGCTATGCAGAAGTTTTTTGTTTGATGTAGCCCCACTTCTCAGTTTCTTATTTTGTTGCGTGTACGTTGGGTGTCAAATTCAATAAGTCATTGACAAGACCAATGTCAGGAAGATTTTGCCCTGTTTTCTGCAAGAAGTTTTATAGATTCACATATTTAAGTTTTTAATCCATTTTCAGTTGATTTTGTGTATGCTGTAAAATAAGGGTCAGATTTCATTCTTTTGCATGTGTATATCTAGCTTTTTCAACATGATTTGTTGATGAAAACATACTTTCCCATTGTGGGTTTTTGATACCCTTGTTAGAAATTGGTTGACTCTATATGTGGCATAATTCTGGCTTCTCTATTTGGCCAATGTGTCTGTATTATTTTTTACATTTGAACTTTTATTTTAGATACAGGCGGGTACATGTGCAGATTTGCTACATGGGAATATTGCATGATGTTGAGGTTTGGAGTACAGATCCCCTCACCCTGGTAGTGAACACAGTACCCAATAGGCAGTTTTTTTAACCCACCCTTCTCCCTCCACCATCTAGTAGTCTGCAGTGTCTACTGTTCCCATATTTATGTCCACACGTGCTCCATGTTTAGCTCTCACTTATAAGTGAGAATATGCAATATTTAGCTTTCTGTCCATGCATTAATTT